GTGGCATACAGAGCTATTGTGGCTGCGTTGTATCACATGACAAGCATGACGCGTCGCCATGGAAACAATATGGCGATAAGTTCTAAAATGATGGTCGCCTAAAATACTCGCGCTGGGGGCTCAGCTAGTATATTTTAAACTCATGTGTGAAAGGGTTAATGCAAACTCTTGTCATTTCACAATACTTTTTTATTAATGTTTATAAAATATCGCTAATGTTTTGCACACATCTCTAATGGAAAGTAGCTAGTGAGTGATGTATGGAAAACGTCTCGGGTTACGACTGTAACCCTTGTTCCCCGAGAACCCTGACAGGAGGGCCCTAGAGGATGCCATGCCTCTAGTAGAGTGGGCCCTCAAAGCCACAGGTGAAGGCAAACCGCGTACCTGATAGGCCAAGGCAATAGCCTGAACAATCCAATTACTAATTGTCTGCTTGGAAGCAGGAAGTCCCTTCTTGGGTGATCCAAAGCACACCAACAACTGTTCTGACCTCCTCCAATGAGAGGACTTCTGAATAAAGATGTTCAATGCTCTGACAGGGCAGAGCAGATGAAGCCTCTCTTCTTCCGCCAACACATGAGGCGGAGGATGGAAGGCCTGAAGAACCACCGGCCGTGCCCTATTAGATGGCACCTTGGGCACATAGCCAGGCCTAGGATGTAAAATGGCCTTAACTCCTCCAGGGGCAAACTCCAGGCAGGTCGGCGAGATAGCCAAGGCCTGGAGATCCCCCACTCTCTTGAGCGAAGTAATTGCCAGGAGAAAGACCATCTTAAAGGTCAGGTTCTTTGCCGTAGCTGACTCGAGAGGCTCGAAGGGGGCAAGTGACAGCCCTTCAAGGACCACAGCCAGATCCCAAGTTGGGACTCTGGAACGAGTCGCAGGCCTCATCCTCCATGCACCACGGAGGAAACGCACGACCAGCTGGTGCCTCCCCAGAGGCCCAACACCTAAAGGAGCGTGAAAAGCCGCAATGACAGCCACGTACACCTTTAGTGTGGACGGGGTAAGATCAGCAGAGAAGCGATCTTGGAGGAACTCCAGCACGGAAGCCACCGGGCAGTTAACTGGGTCCAACCCACGCTCTCTACACCACGTGGAAAACACATTCCACTTTAGGCCGTACAATCTCCTCGTTGAGGGAGCCCTGGAACTGAGTATGGTCTCGATCAGTCCAGCCGACAAGCCAGCCTCTAGGTACTGAGCCCCCTCAGGGGCCAGACCCACAGTTTCCACAGCTCTGGCCGAGGGTGAAATATCTCGCCCCCTGCCTGAGACAGCAGGTCCCTCCTCAGAGGGATCTGCCACGGCTGGCCTGCCAGGAGTGACATGATATCTGAGAACCACACCCGGGCCGGCCAGAACGGGGCTACCAGCAATAGACTGACCCCTTCTTTCCGGACCCTCTTCATTCATGCTTCAGACGCGCTATGCTGAGGGGGTTCCCCTAGTGTTGTTACCGACGCAGTGTGAGTTCCCTCGAGGGGGAACTGGGCTAGAGAAGAGAAAAAAAACATTTAGAGATGGAAGCTGATTTGAAGCAGAAAAAAATGCTTGGTGCAAAGGGTTTTGTCAGATGTTTGTCAGAGGATGTGGGTTGGGAGTTATGCAAAAAAATGCTCTGGATTACCAAACTCCCGATTATGTCATAATGCTTCCGTCCATATGTGATCCGTTAGATCACAGCGCAGTGTGACATTTGGCTTGGAGGAGAACCAAACCAATCCAAGCTGTGCGTGCTGAAACCCGTGGTTTGCAGGGTAGATGATAAGAGAGACGGGTTCGAGAGCACGGACAACCTGTGGAGGATCCGTGCTCTGTTATTTGTGCCTGTAATCATCACAGGGTAAACAGCTACATCAAATCTCTCATTGTGGGTTATTTAGTCCCAGTTTCAGCATGCAGAGACGGTCGCCTAAATGAAAACATCCCTCAAGCTAGAAGAGCTGGGACTGAGCCATTGCCCGAGAACAGGCTCGGAATCATAATGGAATACTAAATTACCCCGACAGGGGAATAGAATATTTATTCAGAAATTCTCATATTGGGAACGTGGCGGCATTTATCTTGCTGGCGTCAGATAATTCACCCCCTCACAGGAAGGAACAGACTCTTTTATCAGCGTTTCCTTTGCTATTATTCACTGTCCACGACAAAGCTACCTGGCCGAATGCTGGTGAATATTTAAACGATAGCAGACGGCTTTTAATTACACTTTAATCTGTGGCTGTGATTGCGGCAGGAGGACTTTTATCTTGTTGCGAATGTTTATCCGGGCTGCTTTGTGAAGGATCCTCATTTCTCTATTTTCCCTTAGTTTTAGTCCTCCTAGGCCCCATGGCCTCACTCAACCCTGCTTTTCTGAGTGTTGAACTCCCTTCTGTTTCTCCACCTTATTCTGATGTTCTAGCGGATGCAAACTCACTCTCTTCTCGTATTAGTATTCGTGCCAGAGATGCTGAGGGATTGGGAAAAGCCCTAAGGGTTGCTTCACTCTGTTTTCGCTTTCCACAGTCCATCGATCCGGGTCAGCAGTTCACCTGGGAGCATTCCAACCTGGAGGTCAACAAACCCAAGAACCGCTACGCCAACGTCATCGCCTACGACCACTCCCGCGTAATCCTGGCGCCCATCGAAGGTCGGGCAGAACTGCGCACACACTGATTCTTTCAAAGAAAAGCACTGCATCTGAATGTTCCAGAATGACTGAACTTTGTTGTCGCCCACAGATGTGTCTGGCTGTTTATTTGAGAAATTTATTTCAGTGCAAAGTCCTAAAATCCTTCCAAAGAACCTGATAGATCTAGGATGTGCATTTGGGAGATCGCCATCCATTTTTTATGTCTTTATTATGTGTTTTTATAGTGTTTATCCATATAAATCAATTGGCTTTCTTCCCTTCCCACACAATTTTATTGTCTGCTCGCACATGTACAGGAAACAAGAGTCCGATAATTCACAAGCAGTTTCAGCATGCAGAGACGGTCGACTAAATGAAAACATCCCTCAAGCTAGAAGAGCTGGGACTGAGCCATTGCCTAAGAACAGGCTCGGAATCATAATGGAATACTAAATTACCCCGACAGGGGAATAGAATATTTATTCAGAAATTCTCATATTGGGAACGTGGCGGCATTTATCTTGCTGGCGTCAGATAATTCACCCCCTCACAGGAAGGAACAGACTCTTTTATCAGCGTTTCCTTTGCTATTATTCACTGTCCACGACAAAGCTACCTGGCCGAATGCTGGTGAATATTTAAACGATAGCAGACGGCTTTTAATTACACTTTAATCTGTGGCTGTGATTGCGGCAGGAGGACTTTTATCTTGTTGCGAATGTTTATCCGGGCTGCTTTGTGAAGGATCCTCATTTCTCTATTTTCCCTTAGTTTTAGTCCTCCTAGGCCCCATGGCCTCACTCAACCCTGCTTTTCTGAGTGTTGAACTCCCTTCTGTTTCTCCACCTTATTCTGATGTTCTAGCGGATGCAAACTCACTCTCTTCTCGTATTAGTATTCGTGCCAGAGATGCTGAGGGATTGGGAAAAGCCCTAAGGGTTGCTTCACTCTGTTTTCTCTTTCCACAGTCCATCGATCCGGGTCAGCAGTTCACCTGGGAGCATTCCAACCTGGAGGTCAACAAACCCAAGAACCGCTACGCCAACGTCATCGCCTACGACCACTCCCGCGTAATCCTGGCGCCCATCGAAGGTCGGGCAGAACTGCGCACACACTGATTCTTTCAAAGAAAAGCACTGCATCTGAATGTTCCAGAATGACTGAACTTTGTTGTCGCCCACAGATGTGTCTGGCTGTTTATTTGAGAAATTTATTTCAGTGCAAAGTCCTAAAATCCTTCCAAAGAACCTGATAGATCTAGGATGTGCATTTGGGAGATCGCCATCCATTTTTTATGTCTTTATTATGTGTTTTTATAGTGTTTATCCATATAAATCAATTGGCTTTCTTCCCTTCCCACACAATTTTATTGTCTGCTCGCACATGTACAGGAAACAAGAGTCCGATAATTCACAAGCAGCCGAAATTAAACTCAAATGGTATAGTGCACCGCCATATCCCAGAGTGTCTTTGGTTGAGGTATAGAAGCTGTCAAGCTTTTGGAAGGAACAGTGGAAAATTGGCAGAGATTCTGCTGTAATGTTGGTAAAACCCCCATCTTTTTTCCATCCAAAGCCGACTGTCAATCCTCAATGCTCCTTTGTGCTGTTTACATTTATGCCCTTCCCCCAGGTTCCCTTCCTCGTCGTCGCGTCACCTTGATTTTCGCCATAGTTCACCACGACCCAATTTAGATGAGCAATAACGCGGCGTAACAGAATCATCACAAAGACAGCGCCTATAAATGCATAAATTAATCAAGTTCGAAATTTCCATTTTACAGTGCAGTGATTTCACCATTAGACACAGCGGTGGAACAATTCGTGCAGGCAGCCGTGCTCTGTTCACTTAGCTATGACTAAAGCGAAACAATCCTGTGATCGCTTTGTGAGACGGGGAAGAGGCTTTTAATGGCATTCTTTTTTCTCCCTGATTGCTAATTTTGCCTTTTTCTCCAACGTAGCGGGGGCTAGAAAAGAACCAAGTGTTTCATTGTTCGTTGTTAAAGTACGAAAACAACAATTTAACACCGCAGGCCTGTGTTTGTGATTGAAGCTTTTGTGTTGGATAAACTGTACAATTAAATATGCCTCTCATAAGTTATTTGCCAGAGGTCTGAAGTGAGCACGGACCCCGAGTGTAATTACAAGTGACTTATTATTTTTAAAAATCATGTAAATCTTCTTTCAAATAATAAATATATATTAAGTGTCTTGTAATTCATCTATACATTTCTTTTTCACTTCCTGTAACTGCCTTGTTAAATCATTAATAATCACTATTATTATGATAATTATGAGAATTACATGTTGTTACTTAGACCAAAACTAAATGCCTTTAAGGTCCAGATCCAGACCCAGAACTAACCCTAAAGACCCTAAGATTCCAATTTCGAGGGCCAAGGCCATATTTATGTGGTTTTGAGAGGTCTCAAGACCTAGACCGCAAGATCGTTACCTCTAGCAGTGGCACACAAGGGCTTTACTTCTGTTCCCACCGCCTCACCGATCCTGAGCTTAGGCAGGAGAATGTTTGGCTGCTTTATGGGAGATTTACTGCGGGCCGCCCAGAGTGATGGCAGAAAGAGAGCGAGACGGGGTCCGGCGTGGGTTCTGCTCGCTGATTTACTCCTAGTCCAGCCTAATTCCATCGTATAGCATCTGGTCCTAAATCAGCTGCAGTGGATGCTGTTGGCCGGCCCTCAGAGAGCTAGACAGGGCAGAAAAAGCTGGAAGGAAGTGAGAAAAAGCTGCGATGGAGCTCGATGGCTTTTCTTTCATGGGGATTATTTTCTATGATGGATATCTGTCACAAGCTCTGCAATAGCCTCTTACCAGACTGTGACTGTATATCATGCTATTGGAGCTGCAAGTTTTTCACAAGTTAAGAAACTCACACAACAACATCGTCAGCCATTTTGGAACTGTCTAGAAACAGGGGTATTAAACCACACTTTTGAAGTCGACAAGTAACGTTAGTCACGTTTTCTTGCACCAAAAACAGCTGAAATGTATTTTTACAAGATTTTACAAGGAGTTTGCATGTGCATTGAGGGCTGTTTTACACAATACATGTCAGTTTATAAATGTGAATGGTCATATGTTGATGATGTACTGATGTTTCTGTATCATAAACGTTGCGTTAGCTTTGTGTTATGTAGCATAGCGTCAGTCAAAATCCTGCTTTTTCATGATACGTCCCTTGAAAAATTTATAAATGTGAATGGTCATATGTTGATGATGTACCTAAGTTTTCTGTATCATAAACGTTGCGTTAGCTTTGTGTTATGTAGCATAGCGTCAGTCAAAATCCTGCTTTTTCATGATACGTCCCTTGAAAAGTGAACATCTCTGTCACTCCGGCTCTAACTCTCACTGTTACCAACCTTCTTACTTCGTTTCAAGGTATCACAGGCAGCGACTACATCAATGCTAACTACATTGATGGCTACAGGAAGCAGAACGCATACATAGCCACGCAGGGACCGCTGCCAGAGACCTTCGGAGACTTTTGGAGAATGGTGTGGGAGCAACGAGCCGCCACCGTGGTCATGATGACCAGACTGGAAGAGAAGTCAAGGGTGAGGCTAAACAAGAAAGTGTAGTTCTTATTAGCTGTGTTTAAAAACAAATAAGCTGTCTCACTTCCTATCTTCCAAGGTAGCAAACTAAAGGAAATGGAGGCTTCTAATGCACTAATCTGGAATACTATACATAGGTGTCGCAAAAAAGTGCTACACGAGAGAATATTGAATTAGCATGTTGCTAAGCTAACAACATGATCCTCTCCGGCATACAAAATGTGCAGTACAAGTAAATATTTGGTAAAATGGTCCATTTTTAATTAGGCAACTATTGAATGAAATGGTTTTCAGTGCATTCTGGGATTGTCTTCTCCACAGTTTCAGTTTTGCCAAAAGGAGGTATCTTTCATTTTGAAACAACCTTAACATCTGGAGCGTGCCGGTGATGTCTTAAAATACTGTCTAGCTAGGCAGCTCACTAGGTTGTGGAAGGGAGCTAATAGTCCCTAAGAAGATAATAGGCCGTCTCTTTTAGCCTTGTTAAAAAGACTGAGCTTCATACTGAACAAATTGACATTATTCCAGTTGAAATGCCATTGCCGGTTGAGTGGATGAGCAAAAAGCCTCTCATAAGTTATTTGCCAGAGGTCTGAAGTGAGCACGGACCCCGAGTGTAATTGCAAGTGACTTGTTTCAGAGAATTAATGGCGCTTGCTCCTACTGAGGGATTTGAACAAACCCCTAACCTTAAGTGTTGAACTTTGTTGCATAATTTGTCCTTCGCTGTTTGTGCTACGTACACGAATGACACATGAAATCATGCAGTTTGTCGAGGAGAGGCATTTAGATGTGTGGTGGATGATGAAATTATATTAGATTTACTCTAGACTTATTTTGAAGGAGAATAACGTGTAAAGCTGTCATTTTCAGCATCATTACCTCCAGTCATCAGTGTCGCATGATCCTTCAGAAATCATTCTAACATAAGCAATGTTGGAAACAGTTGTGCTGCTTAATACTTTTTGGGACCTGTGATACTTTTTTCAGGATTATTTGATCAATAATAAAGTTAAAAAGGACAGCATTTAACATAGAATTTTGTGTTACAGTATACACTATTATTCAGTAAATTTTGGAGTCAGTCATTTTTTTTAGAAATTAATATTTTATTCAGAAAGGATGTGTTAAATGGATAAAAAGTGATAGTAAAGACTTCTATTTTGAATAAATGCTGTTCTTTTAAAAAATTGTATTAATCAAAGATTCAAAGAAAAAAGTATCACAGGTTCCAAAAAATATTAAGCAGCACAACAGTTTCAACACTGATAACAAATCAGCATATTAGAATGATTTCTGAACGATCATGTGACATTGAAGACTGGAGTGATGGCTGAGGAAATTCAGCGTTGCATCACAGAAATAAATTATATTTGAAAGGATATTAAAATAGAAACCATTATTTTATATTGTAATAGCATTTTGCAAGATTACTGTTTTTTTTTCTGTATGTTTGATCAAATAAATGCAGCCTTGATGAGCATTAGAGAAAAACATTACAAGTCTGACTGATCCCAAACTTTTAAACGGCAATATATATAAGCGTTATTATAGTATATATAGTCTATATATACACTACTATACTTATACTATATCTTTATCCTGCCATTGCCGGTTGAGTGGATGAGCAAAAAGGATGGAGAAAATGGAGGGTAATAAGGAAAGGGCTCTCTGATAACAACCAGGAATCATCTCTCGGCTCTATTGGGGGGCAGTTCGGCCCATTTACCACAAAAAAAGGAGAGCGAGACAGAAAGAGGAAGTCAAGAATCCCTCATCTTGAAGACTCCCTCAGCCGTGACGTCTGGAAGTTCATCGAAGACGATTCAGTCACACCCTAGACTGTCAGGCTCAGCAAACTCCGTCAATATCTCAGGACGCCCCCTCTCACTCTCTCTCACCATCTTAGCGGGCGCCACATGGCATATTAGAGCTCTGTCAGATGCGATCAGAGTGAGCCGTTCAATCTGCAGCATAAGTGCAAAGAACGCATTAAACCTGCACATTTTTGAAGCAGCGAGCTGTCACATCGCATCAGGGCACGGGGGGCGGCCCAACTGCTCGCCATGCTCTGTATTGAGTGCATCTTTACAGCGGGCCAGGGGTCTGTCAGTTTGCCAGGTGTCGGAGGAGGGAAGAAAAACATTATGCCTGCGTAATTGATGTGACGTGGGTAGACGGGAAGGGTTTGAGATTCCAGGTGTGAACCCCCAGGACTGAGTCGTTATTTGTGAATCAGTTCGGAGACTGTTAGGAGTCTTACTTCTCATGTCGAAAACCCAAAGTAATTTAGTGTCTTTTCGAAAAGGCTCCCAGATGATTATTTGATTCAGTCTTGGTGAGATTTGGTTCTATGGCACCGTAATTCCTCAGCACACTGAAATTCGGGAGGTATTTGCATAGAGATATCTGAGTCAATGACCACCAAAAAAGACAGCTAAACCCACATGAAAGATATAAGGTTTGTTAACGTTCACTCACACTCTCCAGATAAAGTGTGACCAGTACTGGCCAAGTAGAGGGACGGAGACCTATGGTATGATCCAGGTGACGCTCCTGGACACCATCGAACTCGCCACTTTCTGCTTGCGCACCTTCTCTCTACACAAGGTAAGATTTTTTGTTTCCACCTTGCATGCAAACAACCTTAGTTTGCACTGTTTCAGCTACAGCAGGGGTGGCTAATCCTGCTCCCGGAGGCCCAACATCCTACAGAGTTTAGCTTCAACCCTAATTAGGGATAGTTCACCCAAAAATGAAAATTACACCATAATTTACAAGGATTTGTAAATAAAAATATTGTAGGATTTCCTTTCTGCTTGCGCACCTTCTCTCTACACAAGGTAAGGTTTTTTGTTTCCACCTTGCATGCAAACAACCTTAGTTACCTAGTTTCAGCTACAGCAGGGGTGGCTAATCCTGCTCCCGGAGGCCCAACATCCTACAGAGTTTAGCTTCAACCCTAATTAGGGATAGTTCACCCAAAAATGAAAATTACACCATAATTTACAAGGATTTGTAAATAAAAATATTGTAGGATTTCGAAAAAAGCCAAAAGGAGTCTGGTTTTCCTTTGGTGTAAACAAAACTTGGTTCTCACAAGAATAGCATATTCTCACCAGAGCTTACACTACATCTACGTCCTATGCCATCCGCTGAAACGCCACTTTCTCATGAATGTGCATATGAACGTTAGCGGAAGCTGGAGATTATGGTTTATAAAGTTTTAAATATGGATATTTTTCTTACACAAATGCATCGATTCACTTCAGAAGGCCTTTATTAACGCCCTGAGCCATGTGGAGCATTTTTTATGATGGATGGATGCACTTTTTTTTGGGCTTCAAAATATCGGCCCATTATGAAATTTGGATAAGCCAAATTCATATACACCTAGGATTGTTTGAGGGTGAGTAAATCATGTGGTAATTTTCATTTTTGGGTGAACTGAAGGTCTTCAGGATTGTTAGAAACTTCCAGGCAAATTCTACAAGACGTTGGCTCTTCAGGAGCAGGACTGGACACCCCAGTCCACAATGGGTGTTTTTGATATAAAAGGTATTCCCTATATAAATGTATTTCCTAGGAACACTTTGCTTTAGATGTTTTCAAGAGTTTAACGTTGTGCATGGGCCTCTTATTTCCCTGTGGACCCTTGAGCAGACACATTACACAGTTTCGCTTTTGGGCTCCGACAGACATACGCAAACCGGGACGATTGCAAACAGGAGCATTTTTCCCAAACCCTCCCAGTGTTCTCATCTCGACTGCGTACACCAACACACGCGCATGTTTTTATAATCTCCTCATTCCACATCCATCATCTTTTAATGCTACGCCTGCCAAAGAGAGGCACTTAGCTAAGTGGCCAGTGCAAAACGACTCCATGCAAAATTGGCATCCCAGACGTCGCAGCGGTCAAGTAAACATGAAGTGGTTGGGGGCGAGGGAGAGAAATAGAGAGGGGTCAGCCAGTTGCACGGTCAGACCGTATCATGAATTAAAATGGATTGAGCTTTTACTATAGTGAAGGGCACCCGTAAGACACGAACAGAAGCATTGATTAAACAGAGACTGTCATACAGAGAATGAAGAGCGTGCTTATGGTTAGGGGATGAAGCTTTCGTTTAAAGCCCCAGGAAAGAGAAATGAGATCTCTTCAATATCTCAATTGATTCTCCTAGACAGCACAGTAAGTAATTGGATCTTCTCAGATTTTTCCCAGTAATCCACTAGTTTCAGAAGAGATCTCCTGAGCTATGAATGAGCAATTAAATCGTTTACTGTAGTGAAGGGCACCCGTAAGACACGAACAGAAGCATTGATTAAAGAGAGACTGTCATACAGAGAATGAAGAGCGTGCTTATGGTTAGGGGATGAAGCTTTCGTTTAAAGCCCCAGGATAGAGAAATGAGATCTCTTCAATATCTCAATTGATTCTCCTAGACAGCACAGTAAGTAATTGGATCTTCTCAGATTTTTCCCAGTAATCCACTAGTTTCAGAAGAGATCTCCTGAGCTATGAATGAGCAATTAAATTGTCTTGCACTTCGATGGTCTTCGTATGACTCTTTTTTTTTTTTTTTTTTTTTTTTTTTTTAGTTTTAGTTCTCTGTTTTTGTTTATGTGTTTTTGTTGCACCACAGTTGTTGTATTGCATTGCTAGGCTTGAATAGTCAGAGTTTGCTTACAACCCTTACACACATACTTGCTGGAACAGTGAGGTGTATTTATGTGTGCGCATATCCTGCAGTCGCACACACACAGTCAACCCAGAGTCATGAATTCTTAAAAACAATCCTGCACAAGCCCATCCACTGTGGAGAAACAGCCTGCAGAAGACAGCCAGAGAAAAAAAAAGTATCTGGCAAAACTGGGCCAGTTTGCTCTTAATTACATCGTTTATTTATTCATTTATTCAAAGGAAGCCTCTGTTGGAACAGCAGCGACATTGAAATGCAAAACCTCCCTTTAAAGATGTCCAGGATGAGAAATAAAGGCTAGCAGCTAGAACTAGCAGGACACTGATGTCTCTCCCTCTTCTTAACGAAATCTCCTCTGCGGCAGACATGTTCCTGGCTGCCTTGTTACACTGTATAATACACTGTAGAAGACATTTTGGTGACACAAGGCGATTCCCGAACATAGCATGTTTATGACACTGACATGTAAGGTCCTTGAACTACTAGACAACTCCATGATCTCATGCTTACATGATTAAATCATGCATTGCTAGAACAAGGGCTAGATTTATCACCGCTAAGATTTATTCCTGTGCATTCATGCAACTTGGCGTCACAGCACTTGGCTCTTGTTTCAGAATGGTTCAAGTGAAAAGCGAGAGGTTCGACAGTTCCAGTTTACCGCCTGGCCGGACCACGGCGTTCCCGAGTACCCCACTCCATTCCTGGCCTTCCTCAGGAGGGTGAAGACCTGCAATCCACCGGATGCTGGCCCCATCATCGCCCACTGCAGGTCTGAACCCAGTTCCTACTTGTCAAGGCTCTCGAAGCCTAGAACAGTCTCATCATTCAAAGTTGCAGTCAAGTTTGGCATTGTTCCCTAAAGTCGGCCTTTGGTTCTTAGTAAAGAAACTAGTGCTTTCAATCGTTTAAAACAAATGAATTAATTAATCACACAATTTTTTCTGAAATTAATCATGATTAATAATTAAAGTTTTTAAATATACTTTTATATTGCAATCATTTCATATTCAATCTTCAAATTAATATAGAACCAACATAAAGATGGTATATTTTTAATATTTGTTTAATGGCATCTTTTTTATGACTGAAGGCGAGTATCACTGATACCAATACTTCTGATGTCTCTAGGAAATTGTTCTTTTTTTCCTAATATTTAGCCATTGACTATATGTAATGTTGACTATACTAACATTAAAATATAATTGAGCTATCAATTTGAACATTTATTACACTTTAAAAAATAACTTCTAATTTAAGAAAACTTAAAACAATCTTCAAATAAATGCATTATAATAAATGGCATATTTACCTGTGCCCTTCAGCAAGTAGGAAATTGAATAAAGTTATAGCAAACACTAAATTCTAAATTAAAAGTAGATGAATCCTTAAAGCTACAAAAGTTATTGATTTCCTCTTTTGTCTTTTGTTCTTTGATGAACAGACATCACAGCAGCTGGGTTATTAGGTTATGTGGCTGCTATTACTTTAAGAGCTGCCACTGCTGAAAGTGATGTGGATCTGACACGCATGCGCGTAGTTTCATTTGCACGTTAATATAAAATGATAGGCTACAGTGTGCGCTGCTGTATTTGTGTGTGCAATTGAAAAGCACAGTGTAACGGCTGACAGGACAGGATAATCAGTTTTACTGAGATACGGCCTGACAACATCTCATCTGACTGCAGTCCACTGTTGTTTTATTGAAGCTCCTCATCACCTGTACCGTTTCCATGCTCATTTGACTCTTCGAAGTTGAAGCTTGCGTCTGAAGAGTCTCCCGTTTGATGTGGTCAAAAGGCTTTCTGTGTTTAAATAAATGCAGTTCTTGTAAAGAATAAAAAAAGAGACAGAAGCAGCAGTTGTGAGTGAGGTGGCCAACCCTAGCTCCACCCTTGCATTAACTGCATTAAATATTTTTAATGCCGTTAAACTGGAAAAATTAATCGGCTGCGTTAATACACTAATTTTGACAGAACTAAAAGAAACCAAACTCTCCTGCAACTTTCATCTCTGACTTGTGTGTTTTCAGTGCTGGTGTGGGCCGCACAGGCTGCTTCATCGTGATTGACGCCATGCTAGAGCGCATCAAGCATGAGAAGACGGTGGACATCTACGGTCACGTGACCCTCATGCGCTCCCAGAGGAACTACATGGTGCAGACAGAAGACCAGTACAGCTTCATCCATGATGCCCTCCTGGAGGCCGTCGCCTGCGGGAATACAGAGGTGGCGGCACGAAGCCTCTTCTCCTACATCCAGAAGCTGGCGCAGGTGGAGGCCGGAGAGCACGTTAGTGGCATGGAGCTGGAGTTTAAGGTAGCCACAAGACATATGAAAAGTATGAACATGTTTATTGTGTGCAACTAGTCATCTTTAATTACATCTCGTCAGATAATCTGGGAAATGTTGTTCTGGTTGGCACAAGATCATCGAACGTGCCAGATAGAACCTCTAGTAACAATCGACACCTCTTGGCGGCATGTTTTGTTACTGTAGACACAGATGTGAAACTCTAGTTGTGACAGAGACAAACGAAAGTTGATGACAGCCAGAGAAGGATTGTAGGAAGGGTAATTAACACCCGATGAAGACGGATGTTGAGGAAAAGCGATGTGCTCACTAATGAGCATAGAGGGATTGTGGACTCCATTTGGCGACTGAAACACTCCTGAAGGTTTCTGGCCTCCAAGACCTTGAAAAGATTTCCTTCTTTCCAGTTTTTTGCACCAACTACGGGGAGAAGTGTTGGAAGCAATAGCAAGGTGGCAAACCAATTAGTTTAACAATGGGACCCAGTAGCATTTCTATTTTTAAAAATTGTAGTAGTAAAGCTCTTTTATTGAGTAGCATTGTCAAACATGCTATTTTAGAAACCAAGTTGTGCCAGAGTTTGTCTTACTATAGGGAGATGAGAGGGTCTGTATTACTTACTATTGGAGAAAGTGTAACGGCTAACTTGGATCACGTGTGCCTTAACCAATCACATTACAGCCTTGACGTCACTGAACTTCAGTCAGAGTTGTGTGACACTCAATCGCCGTTTACAGATACCATAGGAATGAATGAGAAATGCTGTAAGCTGAAGCCCACCTCTCGCAAAAAGTCAGTGACTTCTCTTATAAAACAGCATTTTTTTTCGTGGTAAACTCTAAAAATAGTTCAATCCAAAAGTGTTGTTTAGTGTAAAACATGTTGAAGATTAGCAGATAGGCTGTCGATTCATTAAAGGCACAATATGTAATTTTCGCCGCTAGAGGGCGCGTATTCAATATAAACAAAGAGTAGTTTGATGACGCCGTGACTGAGTGAGGAATCATGGGAGTTGTGGTCTTCATTCCCACAGCCGCCACAATC